CTTTGAACCAGGAGACAAGGTGTGGTTATATAATCCCAGGAAGACCAAAGGGAAGTCTCCTAAGTTGTCTTCTCCATGGGAACGCCCATATGACATAGTGGATCGTCTCTCAGACGTGACTTTTCCTAATAAAATGTGGTCGGCAAGGTAACTCAAAAGTGGTGCACACCAACAGGCTTTGGCATTATCACGGTCCAGGACATTTCAGTTGGGACGAAGTGGAAAACAGAACAAATGACCCTGCTGAAGACGTGCCACCTGAAGAAGCCACCGTCGAAGAAGAAACTCTACTCAGTTTTGAGAAGAGAAATGGTGAAGCTCTTGATGAAGTTACTACCACTGATGTGACTGTTACCGACGATAGGACATTTCCTGATGAAGCAGATAAACCCTATATGAAGCAGAAGCCAATGAGACAGAGACCAGTGTGGAAGAAGATACGTCCCGTAAAATTAAGAGACTTTGTTTAATTGTAATTTTGTGTTTGTAATTCTGTACATTTAATTAAGTTATTGTTAATTGTTATTGGTTTATTGTAAGTGGCTATTGTTCGGGACGAACAATACTAAGGAAGGGGCAGCGTTACGACATCGAAGGTCACGTGACGATTGTATCACGCCACTTCCTTCTCGAACCTTCATGAAATGTCGGGAGACTACTAGATTGGGGTAGTCTTGTACATATAAAACCGGCCAAGGAACAAGAGAAGGTAATGAGTAATTGAACTGCGAACAGAGAGAGAATATTGTTGGGCACGTGAGACGTCCGTTGTGAATTATAGCGTTTGTTATAGGCGACTGTTGAAATTAAGTGTATCGCAAAGTTGTATTCAGAAAGAATAAACCAGTTTTATTTAAGAAAGGATTCGTATCGGTAAAGTTTCTTCGTTAGGAATTTGTTACGGAAAATTAACTAACCAACGGAGGCGTAACAGGTTGTTAAGGTTAAATTGACTGTGGAAATTCTGTGTAATACTAAAATTTGTATCGAAAAAGAATAAACTAGTTTTAATCAAGAAGGGACTTGTATTGCTGAAGTTTCTCGGAAAGAATTTCTACGGGAAATTAACAAACAAGCAGATACACAACAATATGTTTGAACAGCTCGAATTATCAGATTGCTGTACTCCTCTGTTAAGTATGGTTCGACAGGGATAATACAGCTATTAGGGTTATCTCGAATTCGTCAGATGTGAATCTTCTTCCGTTTATCATTTACCCCTATTTAGTCTCAAGACTTTCAACTTCTGTAAAATCTCAAACTTCCTCATCAATCTCCTATAACACAGACATGCAAAATCAAACTTCATAAAAGTTGTTTTGGTTTAGTAACGGACTTTCTATAATTCAGCTACGCAGATTTCGAAAATAATATTCATTTTTTCTATAACGTAATGATTTTTTACAAATCGGGAAGAAAAAATTTCATACTTAGATCAAATTCTTATTTCGTTTACCACTGTTACGTCTCTGGTCGTTTGTTAATTTCCGGTATAAATTCTCCCCGAGGAACTTCAGCGATACAAGTCCTTTCTTTAAATAAAACTAGTTTATTCTTTCTCAGTACAACTTTGCAATACATAGAATTTCCACAGTCACCTTAACTTAAACACACGCTATAGTTCACAATGATTTACACACTTTACTTACGCTTGACTCAATTATCCCCTTATCAGTTTTATCTGCCGGCTTATATACTAAAATAGAGGGCGTCTAGCAAACGCTTGGACGTCCTTGAGGTTCCACGATCCTTCTAAAATCTCATCACGTGTTACCATGCTCACGTGACTTCCGCTGTCGTAACACCACAATAAACATTTTTTATTATTATGTCTGTTAAGAAAAAATACAAACAAACTGAAGAAAAGGGAAGAACATTGGTGTCAAACGAATATACATTCTCGTTCATCCTGATTTTTTTCTTTTTTTGCCTATGTCTTTTAGTCTCAAAACTATATGTTGTTGTCTTTCTTTTATGTATTGCGGCTGGAGTACCTCGTTACAATAACCAGCAGTAATCAGCCACCATGGTGATGTTCCACCTTCCCGGAGACCTATACTCCATTACCCTGATGTCTTGATGAAACCTTTCCCCTTGTTATTCGCTAACGGCACAGAGATTTTCAGAGAAATGGTTAATATGTGAGTGTAAGAAATGTGCTTTCAAGCTCATATTACAACCCATCTCTTTGAATTTATCGAGCATATTATTGACAATATTTTCGAAATTTGGGTCTTTGTTGTTTTCTAAAAATATTTCAATAACATCTTTAAAGGCAATCCACTCTTCTTTTTCAACTTTCCTCGTTGTCCTTTCGAACTGTTCATCCAAAGCCAATCTCCTAATCTGAGGCCCAACAAAAATCCCTTGGTTAAGTTTCACTTCTGAAAGAGCTATGAATTACCTACATAGATACTTGAAACAGTCGCCATCTTTGTCTAAGATCATTACAAACTGCTTCATTAAGCCCAGTTTTATGTGAAGTGGAGTAATAGGAATTACTTTGTGTCAACCAAACTTTTACGTCTAATGTTTTTCAATCCTGGTACCAGACTGACTCTGCGTGGTCATTGCTTCTTTATCCAGTGCTGATTTCGTGCTCTGCTGTCCTATTCTAACAAAAAACATGGACATTTTGTATAACCGGATTGTTGATCCAACAAATACCAAGGACTTTTAAGTCTCCACAAAGTAGCCAAGCACATTCTTTGTATTTGACCTTATTAAGAAGAAGTTCGAAATTTTCGTATGTTTCCTTCAAGTGAACCGAATGAGCAATAGGAACAGATGCATATACGTTACCATTGTGAAGGAGAACACTTTTTAGATTTCTTCTGGAGGAATCAATGAACAATCGTCCCTCACTTGGTTCATAGACTGCAGCTCCTAGCATTGGAATCAATTCCACAATATTATTGCAATAAACCAGTAAACCTTCTTGCGAAAAGTATTGTATAAACTCTTTCTCACAATTTCTGTACCAATGAAATGATGTCCTTGGAGTAAGTAAGTTCTTAGCCCGAAGTATGGACCCCAAAATCTCTGAAGAATTCTTTGGAAGGCCCAAATCATTAAATTCACCAAACGTTTCAGATTGAAAACAACCCCTATTATCATTTCTATTGACATCAGATTCAGAATCAGATCAAACTGTATCAAGAGTCTCCGGTTGAGTAGGTACAGGTACATCAGGTCCATGTGCAACAGGTCTTATAGCAGATTGAAGGTTTGGATAAGAAATTTCCTTTCTATTTCGAGTGTTGTAGCCTTGCACGTTACATGAGCAAAAATAGCATTCCTCTCCATGGTTTCTAGGCTCACACCAGACCATTGGAATTACAAAAGGCAAATACTTTTTCTTACCTTTAGTCCATCGTCTCAACTCTTCGACACAAATGATGTAAACTTTGTGAGGAGCCCATGATTTGTCTTTGTCCCCAAGTTTTATTCAAAATACGCGTAATACGCTTTTTGACGAATTCTGTAATGTTTTGCCTTTGTTTCTTTTCAACAAATTTACCACAAATGTAACAGTATATATGTTTGGGCCATTTACACAACCTCTTGCTGCCATAGCAATGAATAAATAATATTAAAAAACAAAAAATACTGTCAGAGCGCACGTATAAACAAATACTATCCAGCAATGACGCGTCATGCAGCCTGTTAATCGTTTATATACTAGTGGTATGTTTATCATGTGTTCTAGAACGATCGACAAGATTTTCACGACGCGATTAGTCTAGAGAAATGTATAGCTAGTGGTTGTAAACATTTTAAGCATAACAAAATGTGACCCGATTTCAACGAAAATGATTCACTTATGTAAAAGTACATAAGACGTTTTGTGAAAAGTCTGTACATGATGGAGAAAAATGGATATCATTTTCGGATTCAGAGTACAAGAGTTACTGTAGAACATGTAAAATTTCAGGATAATAAAAACGTCGCAGACCTGTGTAATTGATGTTTTGTTTTAAGGGTCATTTTTAACGTCAAGTGGTTAATCTACACACTTCTCACAATTGTACTATGATCAGTGAAATATGAATCGGATAATCTGTTTGAAGAACTTGGAAAAGGGATGAAGCTTAGATGAACTCAAGAAAAATCATTAGATTCGAAGTTGTGTCATATTCTTAATAATATCAAATGATGTTCATTATTTTGTAGTGGAGTAGAAAGAATAATAATCGTGCAAAAAAAAGAGAAACTTGATACACATTCCTAAATTCCTGTTCCTGATATTGGGAGCTTTCTTTTTTCGGTTTTGCCTTCTGACAATATGAGACTGTAAAAGATGGTTGAATGCGTCAAAGGTAGTTTCTTCAATATCAAAATTTTTGAGAATTTGTTCCATTTACTGTTTGTTTGTGTTTTTGTTTGTTTTTCCCTAACTGCTATACACAATATTGTGTTCTTTTATTACTATTTTTTACCATTATTGTATTCTCTATACCATCTTTTAGGGTTGATTTTCCTCATATTTTAAGGATGTTTTTTAGTGTCATTTTTTTATCAGCTTTACTAAGATGTTTGATAGGGATTAGTGTAAGACTAATGAGTAAATTATGTCTAAATATTAAACTTCTCTCCACAACAATGAATCACTTGTGACACGCATCTCCTTTCAAATGATACCACTTTTTCGCTCAGTCATTTTTATTTTGAGCCATGTTGAAAGTACATGATGTTTTTACAACAAGTGTAGTTTCCTTCTTCTCATTCTGTGCTTCTTTTTTTTTTGTTTCATGAAATCGCTCAAGGAATAAAATAGGAGAAGTTTATCACAACAGCACGTAGATATAGGACTGGTCATACAGAATATATATCTGTATTACGTGTTAATTCCAAAAAAAAAAAAAATGTGTGTGTTACTATTCGTTATTCATATTTATTATTATAGGCTAAAATTTACATACATATGTTGCCTATAATACGATTACCTTGCGAGTACTAAAATACATTTTAAATTTACAAAACTAAGTACTGATAAGTTTCACGTATCCCAATTTCGTGTTTCCTCAGCCAGTGTTGTTACCATACCAGCCTTACTGGCTCCCATATCCGTCCGCTCTCGACTCTCCAAACTAGTTCCTCAGGATGAGCTGGGTAAGTAATTTGTGTTGAAATAATATGACAGCAATTAAACATTTTATGTAGTAGAAACACTTTGAATCATATTGGACTCTTCTTTTATATTATTCAGTATACACAAAAAAAAAAGATCAAATTTCTTCTTTTTTTAATGTGTTTACTTCCCTAGATTTTATTTAAAGCCAATATCATCATTAAATTTGTTCTGCCTCATAATTTTCGCATAGGTTGTTTTTTGTACTTTTCTTCCATTAATTATCTCGAATACTGTCTATTAGGCTCACAACGTTAAAATCGAGGTTTCGATTCTCCGCCTTAGACAGAAGAGCACGGATAAAACAAAATCTCTATTAGGCTAGCAGAAATATTCAGACCCAACCAATACTTGCTTCAAAAAATAAATAACTTCTATCACACAAACATATGATACATAACTGTAAATAATGAACAACGGATATATTAATTTGCAGTATCTATTTCAACGTATAAGAAAAAACAAATTCACAAAATCACAACTGGAAGGGTTAATACAGCCTGTATTGTCTATGACATCCTATTTTCATAGCTTAGATAAAACATTATTTACTGCTGCTATATAACAATAGCGGAGCCGAATCTATTCATAACTATACCACAAACACAGCGTTTTACCTTTGGATGTGATTTCAACGTAATAATGTCTCTTTCATAGTAGGACTACTCTTTAAAGGTTTTTAAATCTGACGACCTGGAATTGATTTAAGACATTTTAAGTATAAAGAAAAATTAAAACTGAAAAATATATTAAAATACACAAAAAACGTGGAAAAATTAACACAAGCTCGTTTTATACAGACAGTTTCCTTGTTCCGTCTTAAAGACATGAAATCAGTTGATAAACCTAGAACTACTGTTATTTTATTCTTTTGTTTTAACTATGGTTTGGTTTAATGTATCACATTTTGTGCTTGTTTATGTTTAGTGCACAAAAAGAGAGAGAGAAAGAAGGGGAGGGAGAGTGATATTTTTAATTGTTACTTGAAGTGTAATAAGGTAACGTGAGAGATAAATGAAATTAAAGTACACAGTTTTAATTGCGCCAGTACCTTCCACAACTTCAATGATAATTCGGTAACATTGTTACTTTTGTTTTACCACACATTCCAGTACCTGTAAAATTATTATATATATATATTTAGAAACGCTGTGGATTATTCTGATATATTTTACTACGTCGGAACATAAGAAAGGCTACGATCAATCTTTTTGTTTTTTCTTAGATATTCCAAACTTATGTGAATATATGTTTTGTTGACATTGGTTAGTTGTGTGATGATCCATTACGCTGTGATTGACTCTCCAGGCTTGTGTGATGTTACACTACGCTATGAGTGACTCTCTAGGCTTGTGTGATGATACACTACGCTGTGATTGACTCTCCAGGCTTGTATGATGTTACACTACGCTATGAGTGACTCTCTAGGCTTGTGTGATGCTTCATTACATTATGATCGACTCTCTAGGCTTGTGTGATGCTTCATTACATTATGATCGACTCTCTGGGCTTGTGTGATGCTTCATTACATTATGATCGACTCTCTAGGCTTGTGTGATGCTTCATTACATTATGATCGACTCTCTAGGCTTGTGTGATGATCCACTACGCTGTGATTGACTCTCCAGGCTTATGTTATGTTACACTACGCTATGAGCGACTCTCTAGGCTTGTGTGATGCTTCATTACATTATGATCGACTCTCTAGGCTTGTGTGATGCTTCATTACATTATGATCGACTCTCTAGGCTTGTGTAATGTTACACTACGTTATGACTGTCTTTCTAGGATTGTGTGACTCTCCACTACGTTATGACTGTCTTTCTAGGATTGTGTGACTCTCCACTACGTTATGACTGTCTTTCTAGGATTGTGTGACTCTCCACTACATTATGACTGACTCTCTAGACTTGTTTGATACTCCGCTACGTTGTGATTAACTCTCTAGGCTTACACCACTTGGAATTGAATAAATCTGAAAGGTGTGGATGTAATTGTTGAGACAAACAAACAAATTGTGTTAGGTGGTCATTTCAACAGACAGTGATAGTTTAGAACTCATAATTTGATATTAAGTAATTATTTTTTTGAAGCTTTAGTTTAGTTTGTTTGGAATTAAGCACAAAGCTACACAATGGGCTATCTGTGCTCTGCCCACCACGGGTATCGAAACCCGGTTTCTAGCGTTGTAAGTCCGCAGACATACTGCTGTGCCACTGGGGGGAGGATGAAGTTTTAGTCAAAATTATCTGCAACAAACCAGGTTATCGAAAATGATTAACACAGATTTTGTCTAATTTAAAACACATTGTTCTTTTCATCGCCTCACCCGGTGGATCAGCGATAAATTTACAGACTTACAACCATAAAAATCCTGGGTTTTCCAATCCCCGCGAAATAAAACGAATAAAATGCTGGAAGAATTTTAGATGAGAACAATTCGACAGTCGGCATATACTATAAAGGCTGTCGAACAGAACATTTGGGGTTTCCGAAGATAGATTATCTTCCTTCGCCCCGGAATAGGTAATTATTGTTAATCTAGAGATGAAGTAAATTAGCTACATTGGAGTAGTAATTTGAACATCCGGGAAATAGCTCATTGTGTAGCTCTGCGCTAAAACAACAACACCAATTTTCCTCGTAAATTAAAGTTCACATTCACATTACCTCTGTCTTGTAATTATGATTCCAGCGCATTTTTCTTGTCAAATGTATTACTTAAAAGGTTTTTTTTTATAATAGGCCTGTAGTGCAATCGTCTCTTTCGTTGACTTGTTTGTTTGTTGTTAATTTCAAAGCTGATTTTTAGTATTACAATCCCCCAGACTTACCACGAATCACGGAGGGAGGGGGGGGGGTATTATAGTGCAACACAAAAATTATTACCAATATCCACTTACAGCATTGCATATTTGTAACAACAAGTGCTAAATTAGGATACTTTAATTATATATATATATTACTTTGACCAACAGTTATTCCATTAAAAAAAAAGAAAACTAGTGAATAACATTTTGTTTCTACATAATATTTATCTTTATACTCAAAATAAAATAATTTAATATCGATAAAAATAAAATATTATGAGTAAATGTCAATATACAACTCAGTTTGAATTGTTATAATCTCACTGTTTTCAAGTGACATAAAATACCTGCACCCGACATTTGATTCAACCACAGGCGTAAAAACAAGACAGAGAAACATATTTTTATGCATTTACAAAATCGTCTTGAAACCATGGTAATTTTATCAGTTTATATATATGGTATTTTTGTTTAATTTAACTTATTAGTTAATATGCTGAATGATTTGGACAATATGAACAAAGTTTATTATGTTCGTAAGACTATAATATTGTTAATCAGCGTTTTACCATTATCATTAAATCTTTTTTCATTGCAGGAAAAGTGTTCGCTATGTTGGCAACGATAGAGTCCGTTATACCCGTTTTGGGGAATTCGCTGTTTTCTCTACTGTACAATGCAACTATCAACATTAATCCAGGAATCAGTTACCTGAGCGCAAGCAGTTTTGTTATATTACCAATCATCGTTTTCGTGTAAATATACTACTATGTGGTCTATTGTAGTATTAAAAAATATATTTTGTTTTATTTCTGTTTTCAGTATTATAATAATTATTTATTACGTAAAGTATCTTCTTTAGATGGTTATTTTAAGTTTTGTATTTTAACGTAAGAAATTTAACATAAAATTACATTTCTTTCGCATTATTAAGCCTTTAATATTGTTGTAACATGTTTTCTATCGTTGGGAGAGTTTGTTTAGATTGTTTGGTAAAAATATTGCCAAACTCAGTCTTCGTAACGTTAACGAATTAATTTAAAAGGCGTACACACCATAACAATTGTTATTGTATCAAATAACTTATATAAATAATTCTCCCATCACTGTTGTGTTTGTTGTATCCCAGCCGGCCTGAAGAGCTCTGGAGTGAGCGAAACGCGTCGTCAGCAATGGATATGACAAATATAATGTGGTTGGAATAGTATTATAATACACTCTTCTAATTCCTAATTAGTTCAGTGACTGAAAATTCAGTAAAATATTCAGTGCGTGAACGATCTTGTAAACTTATTCACCAAACTAATCAGTAGGCTGTCATCAAATAAGGAAACTTCTATTAAACATTAAGTACTTGTGTATTAGCCCTACAACTTGTGTCAAAGACTCAAAATGAACGTAGCCCATACTGAACAAATAAATTAGTTATATATTTGTCATAAGTAGTATTGGGCCTATTATATTTTTAAACACTACTTTTTTAATCTAGTCCCTTAAGGATTTTCAATATATTATTACTCGGTACTCATATTCATAACTTATTCACCAATCTAGATATTAGTTAACCCGATTAATTCAATCGCCATATTCCCGAATCCGCCTATATCCAATTGTTACATTAACACCTGAAGATATCCAGTATGAAAACTCGTTAAACCGGAGAAATAGTCTCATTGCACTGCGGGCAAAATCAATTCCAGGGAAAAATGAACAAAAATTTCGTCTTCCCCTATCTTGTTGGTTTGTTTGTTTCTTTGTTTTTGAATTTCGCGCAAAGCTACACGAGGGCTATCTGCGCTAGCCGTCCCTAATTTAGCAGTGTAAGACTAGAGGGAAGGCAGCTAGTCATCACCACCCACCGCCAACCCTATCTTGTTGGTGAGATTGTGAAAGTATCTTTGTAGTCTAATATAAGTTTGATAAAATTAGTCTGCTTATTATTTAAATTAATTATGTCTTTTCTTTCTATAAACTGAATAGATTCGTAAACATCCATTTCGTAAACAATAAACCGGAAATCAACATTGGATACTGTGATTTGCGAAATCTATTGTTCTGTGGTTTTTCATAATCACCTGTTACAGAGGGCGTTTGACGCGTTTTTTTTGTTTTTTTTTATTAGTCGTATTCAAGCCCTAGCAAATCGATCTTAGTAATGCGCTGAATAATTCAAGTTAAATATTAGTTGAAGTTTATCGATCATTATCACGATTAACAGCTCAATTTACCAAACATCTAAATTAACACATTAAAAATATAACTTATAACAGTATTTTGTTCTGTCATGAGGGTCTGTTGATGAATATTCTGAAACAAATTATATAAGAAAAGAAATAAATTAACTGTTTTTTTTGTCCCAAAGCTAAGTAAAGTTTAAGAACCGAAAAACTGGTTTATGCTTCTTAATATGATATCGAAATACAGTGGTGTAGAAACCGGAGGGCAATAGTTACCACCTAAACTTGGGTAGAAGAAGTAAGTAGCAGCAGTCTCCCAACCGGTCCAAAACAACGAAATTTTCAATTTAGAAATCCTAAACTTTCATTCCTCAAAATTTTTAAAACAACAACAAATACATTATGTATTGCCACTAGTTACTCAGTAACAATACCCTTTATGTATAAGAGATATCTGACAAGTTCAGTTTCGTTTAAAGTCGCTCCCCTGGCAAAAAGACGTTCCTACGCCACTATCTAAATATTTCGAATACTGTTGTAATGTTGTTCTGGTTCTTTTAAATTATTTGGAGAAAACAATTCGAAGTCCAGTCCACATAACAAACTAGTTTATTTCTTATTTAATGTTACTACACGCATGCACACTGTTGTAATTTATATTCAGTGGGCCTAAGTTTACAGATGACGTTCAAACGGAAATACTTCGCTAATAGTACTACGACTAACGTAAAAATAATCCTACCTGTACAATATCACAGTTAATCGATCGAATAACTGAATATATGCGATCACTAGCACTGATCCAAATACTTCCCTGAATAAAACTAAGTGACACTCTACCGACTTAATACTCTTTCACTATTTATTGCTCGCTGAAAGCAAAACATTGATTCTCGTATTGCCTTGTATCTAGATACTTCACAAAATTCTGCTCCCCAGTGGCACAGTGGTGTGTCTGCGGACTTACAACGCTCAAAACCGTGTTTCGATACCCGTGGTGGGCAGAGCACAGATAGCCCATTGTGTAGCATTGTGCTTAACTTCAAACATACAAACAAACACAAAATTCTAGTAATTTTGTGGCGCCATCTAGAACGTTTTAGGTCAACACCCACAAACTTACTTCATCTAATTAACATTTGAATTAAAGCTTTGAAAATATAGCCTATAACAGTATTAATGAAAACGTTTGGCAACTAAGAACATTGGCTTAAGTGATATAATGTTAAAAATTCATTATCCTAACTCTGATGTGTTGTGACATAAATAAAATAGATAAAATAATTACTCTTCATCTTAATACAGTTCACATTTTTACAGTTGTCAAGTGGTTTGCTAATATACGCAGAGTCTCAACCACTACTGCGTCTAATGTTTCCCAGCCAGCCTTAAAAGTTCTGATAATAGGCGAAAAGCCTCGTCGGCCCTGGATATAACAGATTTAGTGATTAATATCATACACTCCTCTTTACTTTCACTCAGAAGTTCTTATAAATAACCATGTCTGGTTAATCTCAGGTTAGAGTCTTTACAAATCACACTTGCAAACCATGGCTAGGAACTCTGGAATGGAAATTACATTCTTGGTATTTGACACACAATTTGATTGGCCAGTTGCATTATGTTGAACGCATTGGATTCGTCTAGTTTGTTGACGTAGGTTGCTGAGCCAGAAACATGCCGCAAGAAGCGCCAGAGTTTTGTGCTAAAATTTTTAGCGAAAAGAAATTAGGTCGAATAGTATATTAATTTAGGGTTTGGTTTGTTTTGAAGCTATCTGCACTAGTCGTCCCTGATTTAGAAGTGAAAGACTTGAGGGAATGTAGCTGAAAGAGTGAGCATGTTTGGTAGGACTGGGATTCAAACCCGCGGCCTGCAGGTTGTGAGACAAGCGCCCTAACCACCTGGCCATGCCAGGTCGAAATATAAGGGAGATTTCATCAAATGTCATTTTAAATTAGAGTGGTTTGCCTACCAGCCACTTACTTTAGAAAACATTTAAAAACTCTGATTAGCCTAGAACATGGCCCACTTCCTGAATTGCGAAGTCCCTTAAACAATCCTGTTACACATAGAAAAAATTGTACATTAAAGTTAAATTCCCATAACTAACAATAAAGAAACTAGTGGGAATTAACAAAACTAATATTCATAAATATAGAAATTACAATAACTAAATCACCAGTCAACTGTGTAAAACAAAACACAATCAAAATTTTGATAAACAGAACAAAAATCACCTTTCTTTACTCACTCACTGACCCTAAACTGTCCAGTCACCAAGGACGGAATGACCTTTTGCACTTTATCAACACTATTTGTCTTGTCAGTTGGGAGTTTTCTACAAGTAGACTATCACCAGGGATGAAGCCATCAGAGGATTCTCTTGAACCTCTGAAAGTGACTTAAGAGGAACTTTAGGCTCCTCACCACGATGACTTAGTTTTGGTGGCATATTTTTAAAGACAACTGCAGCGTATGACTTTTGGTTTGTATCATCTGTCTTTTTTAATTCTGTTCTTTTGCACTTTACTTTGATTGTATTTATTACATTGCACTTCTTTCCTTATTGTTACTGGAAGTTCAACTACTAGTAATGTAGTTCTTGTGTAAGTGCACAGGAATTTCTTTGTCACACACTGAAACAATGTTTGGGACAAGTCTAATCTCACATCTGATGAGTTTCTATTCTCAACATGTATTCTTCCTCAATGTTATTTATCTCACATCTTGTTGTGTAGAGAAGCTTCCCACATTTGGGATAACTTCTAACTTTCCTCTTACTAGAAATATATAACCATCTGCTATTATCATCAATCCATTTTCTTGCTTCATCTGTGAAGGTAATTTACCAACTTTCATTACCAGAACAGGTAGAACAATGATTGCTGTTGTATCAGTGTCATTCGACATGTTGCAAGGCTTCCCATCAATGAACCTGTTGACTTGTAGACTCATTTTTTAATAACTTCTAGTTCTAAAACTTTGACAATTTCGAGTAATTCATTTTTGTTATATTTTTCTAGTTGTTCTAGGGAAGGTGATACCAAAAAATCTTGATAATCTGACATCATCAAATCTTGTTGGCACTGATCAATATAAATTCAATTATGATTTAAATTATAATTTAGATCGAATTTTGTTTCTGATTTATCCCCGTCACACCAAACATGCTCGCCCTTTCAGCCGTGGGGGCGTGATAATGTGACGGTCAATCCCACTATTCGTTGGTAAAAGAGTAGCCCAAGAGTTGGCGGTGGGTGGTGATGACTAGCTGCCTTCCCTCTAGTCTTACACTACTAAATTAGGGACGGCTAGCGCAGATATCCCTCGTGTAGCTTTGCGCGAAATTCAAAACAAACAAACAAACAAAGTTTCTGATTCAAATCTCGGACACGACCCCCCAATTTATTATGTTACCTATTGAGAATTTGAAATAATCCAAAGCCACGTTAAATAATTTAACTTTTAATAGTTGAACTGTACCCTGGATTTAGTGTTTAGAAATATGCCGATATTTTATTTTATTTACGCTATTTGCCAACAAGATTGATTCACACCGTTTTTGTTTTTGACACAAATACGTTTTAATATATATAT